GCAAGCTGTAGCTTTAATTCAATTTCTTTTTGTAGATTTCTGAGTCACATCTTCGAAACTGTTGTAGATGTTTTAAAGATGTTTGATACACTGGCCTCAGGACGTACTGCGTAGTCATTATCTTAGTTAACTTGATTAACAATCACATTGCCATTGTTTAAATGATCATATTCACCGGCCACGTTCGGGACATTTTGATTAGTACCGGGATTTTCAGTATTGTTCATTTGGTCACCTTCAGTTGCAGGATTATCGTCTGTCACGACATTATCACGATCGTTGTTTAAGGCCAGGATTTCACATTCACAAAATTCACTGTTTAATGTTATGGCACATCCACAGACGTTTTTTTTTTACTTTTATGTAGACATGGACTTAGTAGGGTACCAGAGCATCATTGGACACAACATTTGGCAACTAGAATAAGCGACGGTTCATCACAGAGATTGTGGTCTGATTCTCAAAATGGCTAGATAGGAGACAATCAGTTAACAACAATAAAGTCTTAAATTTGAAAACCTTTATATGACGAAGGCAGTTACTTTACAAATATAAACGTAAACAATAATAAAAGTAAATAAAAGAGTTCACAGTTGAATTGTTTCATTGACTTGAAAAAAACGATCAGTCTCCGTGAAGCCTGCTGCTTCGACCATGGTCTCCCAAACAGAGTTGTCTTCCCTTGCAGTCCAAACTATCTCTGCTAACGGCTCATTTGATTACGCCACCAAGATTCTTGGTGTTGATGGACAATGATAAATAATACGATTTAAAACAGTTAAATGATAATATATTTAATACTATTACCATATTTAAATAGTAATGGGGACACAATTGCAAAATAACAATGTATTTACAAATATTACAAAGAACTCTTTCGCGTATGATTACAGGATTAAATGGTCGGAAATACGAACTGCGCATGTCGCCGTGCTAATTTTAGAATATAATACACGTGGATCTATTTACCTTTATAATGCGATCGTAAGGCCTAATACGTTTAGGACTGAACTAGCTTCATCCGTGCTATGAACAGACGACCAAATGAACTGCTATATTATATTTAAAGTGCGTTATTAACTATTTACCGTGCGTTATTAATTTGGAATGCTGTTATTGTCCCTAATATTGCTCGTCTGCAGTTTGTGTGTATATTGGAATTTTGCGGATCATTTAAATCATTACTTTATTTAGGGCCTACCCGAATGAAGAAACAAGTCACGCATCCTTTATATTGACCCTATCACGAGTATAAATTGAAATAATCGAGGAATACCGATTAATTTTATATTTTAAAACTGGACAAATTTACCTAACGTATCACGTGATTTGAAGTGTTGTTTTATTGCTGCAATTTAAGCATACTATTTTCAAATATTTAATAGACGTAAAAAAAAACCAACGACAGAAAAAACTAAAACAAAATCTGAACTCTCTTCATATCTAATGTCATGGAAAGAACAGCACTCTTATCTTTAAAAAAAATTATCTTCGTGTAGGCCTACAATGGTTTGTTTAAAATTGCCAATTTCTAGGTATTAGAAGGCCCACGGGGCTATAATACTAGACATGCTACATGCAAAGTATTTACTCATATGAGAGAGAAATGGGGTTTGACGTCCACTCGACACAACTAGGACATTTCGGAACTAACACATGGTTCAATTTTATTTCAATAATTCGCTTGCGCGTAGGGATCTTTAGCAGTGAGAGGAAACCGAGGAACACGGAGAAAACCCACGGGGCTGGACAGGCGACCATACTCATTGTCACGTACATCCGGGGAAACGAAACCACGCCAGTTGACTCAATGACAGACCTCATGATACAGCGCGCACGTGCTAACCATTCCCCCCCCCACTCCTCTGATTTACTCATATGGTTTGGGGGTTAGGATGATTTGTAAAATAATTAATCAGTAGTCTCAAATGTGTTTATTGAAAAATGTTATATGTCTATTTGAAATTAATATCATAAATTTATTATTATTTCTTAATGAAGGCTTTCGTTAATAACACAGCATAAATTAGAGAAGTTTTAGGAGCCATTTTGGGGAAAAAATCATTTTAATTAAGTAAGCTAGATAGGCATTATCCAATAAAGAGTGTGTCACTTTGGTAATTTCAATGTATTTTTTAAAACAGTATGGAATGACATTTCAAATCTAGGCGTCGGAACATTGGCTATTTCGTGGATTAGTTTTAAAGTTGTTAAATACTTTTAACATTCGACGACAATTTACAGCCTAGATTAGTCGTTTGAGTCACAAATATATGTTTGTGACAATTTTCCATAGTTTCTGTTATCCAAAATACCATAAAACTACGAAATTCAAGCGATTTAATTATTTACATCAAATGCCAAGTTCAAGGCCAACACACCGATACATTTCGAAACGAATAATAGGCAATAAACTAATTTATTTCATCTCGCTACGACTGCTGTCTGGCCATCAGCAAACATTGCTACAACGTATGAAACTCTCCCCCATTGATATTGTACCCGTCCGTTCAACCTGTCAACTGTTTTCAGTTTCGAAGCGTGATTGCGTACACCATAAGTGCCCGCATCGGAAATGTGCACTGCGCGGGCGTAAGCAATTTTAACTAATATCTATTAAAATTGCATTATAATTTACAATCGATCTTCGTGAAACGCATAGAATTTAAAATCTCATTTTGATTTTAGTTAAAATCTATTTTAGTGATTTTACCATAAACATACATTATGCAAGAGTTAAATCTGCCTATTGCAGGTCTTTCTTTAGGTCTGAAATGTTATCTAAATTATAAATTAGACAATAATTGAATTACCTGAACCATAACCAACTCTCGATGTCAACGCTAGCCTGCGATACTTACTGGATTAGGATCCGATTTGCTGCTCGGCTTTCATTCATGATTTAATCATAAAATGGATAATCGAGACTATGTTTTATCGTACCGACTTCGGTTCAGAGTGGATCAATAATACTGAATTTTTCAGCAAATTCCCTTTACATTATCTAGTTTTAACTATTATAGTGAACTGCCAGCTCTTTATCTAATCTCCCATGATGTATCTTTAAGTTTTGAGGAAACAGGGCCCTGAACTGCCGTACAATAACAAGTTAGAACAAAACAGAAAACCTGACATTTTTTCTAGTTTTCTGTTAAATGTGTTTCTTGTCATTGTTCAGAAAATGTATCTCAATAAGAAAAATCCTACAAATCACGTATTCAAACCAATATGCACATCCACAACAAACATTTAACTTCAAAAACAGTATAATTACCGTTCAAAACGTTCAACTTTGTAACTTGGGCTCCCATATCATTACGACATGTGTCGTGAACTCGATATAGTTACGCTAGTTACCATTTCGTTAGTCGTATTTCCCATAAAACCGGTGGGTGGGCGTTGATGGCCGAATGGTTAGCTCGTGCGCGCTGTATCATAAGGTCTGGCATTGAGTCAGCTGGCGTGGTTTCGATTCCCCGGTTGCATACGTGACAAGTAGTAGGTTCGCCTGTCTAACCTCGTGGAGAGCTTTCACCGACTCCTAAGATAAATGCCAAGCGATCTAGAACAAGGAAGATCGAATCCACAGCTTTAATAACATCATCACCATATGAGTTAGAGTTGGGGGAGAAACTAAAGTCAAAGAAAATTTCGAAATCAAAACCAAAGATGTCAAAACCGTCTACGCGACCTTTTAAAACTGTTTGTCGAGATGTCAAAGACGAGGATTCTGAAGAATGGCCATGTCCCATTTGTGGCGAACCATAATACGAGGATTCTGAAGCATGGCCATGTCCCATTTGTGGCGAACCATATGGCAACACACTGCAGCGTATGCCCGTCTTCCTTGGCTCAGTCGGGAGCCGAACATAGAACGTTAAACCCTTTTTCATTTCATTACATTTCTTTTACTTACTACAATATATGCAAACAGAGCTGTAACTTATTCAGATGATATTTAAACTAGCCTACTGTTGGTGAAATTGAAGCAAAGTTGATCAAATATAGTCAGTGACAGGAGAAAACTAGGCAGCTTCGCATCCCTTTATTTATGGGAAAAGTGATAATTTGGATAAGAGAGGGAAAGAGAAGAGAGGGGGAAGAGCGAGAGAGAGCTTAACATCCACTCGATACGAACTAGGTCATTTCGGGACTAACATATGGTTCAATTTTATTTCAATAATTTGCTTGCGCGTAGGGGTCTTAAACCCGTGGACCTGGAGAAAACCCACGAGGTTAGACGGGCGACCCTACTCCTTGTCATGTACAACGGGGAATCGAAACCACGCCGGTTTGAGCTTGGCCCGATATAACCCATTTAGTTGTTGAATGAACAATAAACCCCATTTCAATTAATTTTCATTCTACACCACATGTACAAAATAAATATAGCACATGATATAATAACATACAAGATGGGTTGCAATATTTGTAAACAGATGAGGGTTGTCTCTTTAAACTTTAACTATGATGGGACAGGAAGCCTACTATGGGCGGCCGGTCCCTACTAAAAAGGCATTTTGCCCCATGTGTAGGGTGATCCGCCCAATTTGTTGTCTTTCATATTTTGCTCATAAGTTTATACTAATTATAAACATAACCTGATAAAAATAAGTTAAACTCCTTAGTAGTTTGATATAATCCTGAAGTGGTTTCAGAAGGTTGAGAAATATTAATTGGACAAAGAGTTTCCCTTAAGGTGGGCGCTTTACCCCACGTTACCCTATATATTGCAGTGTTATCACAGAAGTAAAATGTGAATATGTCAATTAGTTTGAAGCCTTATCAAATTGGGTTTTGAGCACGAAAAGGTGGTCGAAACTTTTGAGTTTTTACCGGTTTTTACCTGGTGGTTAAAACCGGATGGTTTATACCGGCCAACCCTGTTCGCCAGCAACAGGGTTTTTACCTGGTGGTTAAAACCGGGTGGTTTATACCGGCCAACCCTGTTCGCCAGCAACACGTCATGAATATATATATATTTTGTTTGTTTGTTTCAGATTAACCAGCATAATGACAAAAGGTTACCTAGTAGATCCAGCCAATATTGTATTATTTATTTCTGCTGTTGCTACGGTGTATTATCTTACGTGTAAGTATTTTATTTTACTTTATTTCTGTCTGATATTAAAAAACCCAATATAGATGCAGTTTACTTTAATATTTAAACAACATAAATACACAGTATATAGTTGTGTTACGAACTCAGAGAATGGGTTATCGCCTGTATTACGATGGGATTTATTTAAAAAATAAATGCTACGATACCAACTTACTATTGAAGGAATGCGGATATATATAATTATAAGCTTATTTAAAACGTTTCCTTTGGAGTATCTCGAAATATAATGTTTTTGCTCATGTCCCATAATGATATGACATCAAAATTTCTAATATGAGCTTAAATAAACAGCAAATAATATTTGCATGGCGAAATATGGTCATTTAAAGTCTCTGAACGTCATTTGAGGAACTGTTTGTCCCCTGCAAACAACAATATTATGAAAGTACGTAATCTAGCGAATATATGTTTGACGTCACTTCCCGTTTCCTCACGTGCTTGTTACTCAGCTAGCGTAGCAATGATCTCTGTGTTAAAATTATATTTGGGATGTATTTAACGAGCTCTATAACATATTTTATAATGACTGACACCAATATTGTCCTTTAATGTGACCGGTGAATTATTTTTAAATCGATGTAAATGAACACATATCTGCCAAAAAATTTCCCCGCCTCCCCCAAAAAGCACGCTCGCCCGTCTGTCCCGTCTCTCCCTTCCACTTTTTGTGACACAATAACCCCACTTCTACTAGAATGTCCAAACTCGATTTTGTTTATTAGTTGAGTGCTTTGACTGAGCATTTTCTGCTTAAACATACATTATACAAGAGCTAAACCTGTCTATTTCAGGTCTTTCTTTAGGCCTGAAATGTTATCGAAATTATTAATTAGACATTAATTAACTGATCCAGACCATAATCAACCCTCGATGGCATCGCTAGCCTGCGATATTTACTGGATTAGGATCCGATTTGTTGCTCAACTTTCATTCATAATTTAATCGAGACTATGTTTTTTATCGTGCCGACTTTAGTAATGATGATCGAGACGAGACCGAAAATTCAATCGCTAAATTCTCGGTTCAGAGTGAATCAATTTGACTGAAATTTCCAGCAAATTCCTTTTACATTATCTAGGTTTGAACTATTATAGTGAGAACTGCCAGCTCTTTATCTAATCCCCCATACTGTATATTTAAGCTATGCACAAATAAACAATTTCATTGGTCGATGTTCAATTAGAGTATTTTTTGATTAGGTTCAGTTGATTTATCGACGCTTTACAAAAATATAAATGTGCAATTAATTAACGTGTCATCTAATTATTTTGGTATTGAAGTTTCAGAAATCAGCCCCGCTGTTTATTCTGTTTGGGCTTGGCCTTAAAATACCGCCAACATACAATAATTATATTTTAAAGATTTAATGGTTTTTTTAGTAAACGTTTATTTTGAATGTGTTTGATAACCGGTTCTTGTGTATGTATAATCGCTACTGTGGGATAAACATTCCTTTAATAAATTAATTAATTTTATTTATAAAGATTTCTTCTTTTTCAGATGGCATATGGAGATGTTATCCTACTTCTTGGAATGAGCGAATGTCAAACGTATGTTAATGAGATTACATATAATTTACTTTTTGTGACAACTAACAAACACAGTAAATATGAAATGAAATGAAATGGGGTTTAACGTCCTACTGTTCTGCTCCTAAACGGGGCTAATGAAGACGGGCATACGCCATACAGTGTGCTATGAGGGAAATTTTGCCCGGGCAGCGGCACTACGGCCTACTCTTATATCGAATTCCATCTGCTAAGGGACCTCGGTTTTTCGTCCCATCCGAACGACTAGACAGCTGTCCTTGTCAGGCCCTCCGTCCTGCATCACTGACTAGGGGAAACCACGCTGGAAAATGTGGATGAACTTTCTCGGCCAATGCAGGAGTCGAACACCCGACCTCCAGGCTAGCGAGCCAGCGTCTTACCCACTTAGCCACGTGATTCCCAACAGTAAATAAGTGTCGCATCAATTCCATATTATTGCGAGAGAGAGAGAGAGAGAGAGTTAAATCATTTCGGGACTTTAAACCCCATTTCATTAATTGCATTCATTCCCCGTGTAGCGGTCTGGAATGAATCTCATAAAGACTAACTCTGTAATAAAAATATATACGGTTAAACTTTGATTTTTCTATTCCAGATAAGCTATGGGGAGTGGAATAAAAACAAAGTTTTCTCAGAAATTCATGACTTCTATGGAAATAGCAGTTTAACATCAGAAGTTACAATAGTCACAGCTTATTTCAACATTGGATCCTTCCCCAAAGGTGGTGGTGAATATACACCAGGTTTATATGCACACTGGATGAGCGTCTTTGGACGTCTTGACAACCCTTTGATAATGTTTACCGATTCCGAGGATGTCCTTGAAATTTTCAAAAGGCTACGCGCCAAATTTCCAGCCGAACGGACAAAGTTATTTTTGATAGCTAGAGATAAATTATGGGCCTTTTCTTTAGCTTCAACAATAAAATCAATATATTCCCAACCAAATTACCCCCAGTTTAAACCGAATACCATAAACGAAAAATATTCTTGCATAATGCACGCTAAATTTGAACTAATGAATAAAGTTATTCGAGAGAAACTAATGAATACGCGGTACGTCAGTTGGTTAGATATTGGGCTTTTTCGAGCTGTGGTGTATGAAACGCATATATTTCGAATAGACTTACCGAAAGACTTTGACCATACTAAAATTGGGTATAGTGGAGTGAAAGAATTCGATGTATCTCTGACAACCCACGACGTTGTTAGTAACAATCTTGTGTGGGTAGGGGGCGCCATGTTTATTGGCACACCGGACATTATGTACATCTTCACAGAAGATTATATAAGGAGTGTGACTAAGATGATCGAGATGAAGATAATGAGTACAGATCAACAAGTTCTATACAGCATGTACCTGCCCAGTTTTCCAATTAAACCACGAATAGAAATTCAACTGTTTACTTCCCACAGTGGTGATGATTGGTTTTACATTGGCTATATAATAAAAGACATGCATGACAAAAAAAGGCGCGAAAGCCGTGACCTATCATTTTACAATGTCCATTATGTTTAACTGTGTGTGGGGGTGTGTGGGTGTGGGTGGTTGTGTTTGTGTGAGAGAGAGAGTTTAACGTCTACTCGACACAATCTAGGTCTTTATGGACTATAAAGTGCAATCAGGCTCCAGCTCTAAAATACAAAACAGGTGCTTTTTATTTTTAAACAATTATATGCAGATTATCTGATTTGTAACCCTCGTGATGGTGACAGTAGTTCTTGTCTGTGTGTGTGCTTCATATAATATTATATAATTAATGCCGTCAAGATTTTTATTCAAATTAACCATAGACACTTCGATGGGCAGAGATTCTGACATGGATGGAACGAAAAACCGAAGTCCCGTGTACACTTGCTCTTTGTCACCCCTGTTGACCCAAAATGCCTACTTTTGGGTCGGATATACCCACTTGTGAGTCCCAGGCTTATCTCATCATTATAGAAATATTGAAACAATGTTATGCGCTGTCACGCGGGGCCCCCAGATACCCGTGACCAATGGCCTACAATGCCTATTGGTAAATTCGGCCCCGCACCCTTGTCCATCCGTCAAACATATTGTAAACGCTCTACTAGTCAAGTTTTGAGATTTTTTTCAAAACTTGTTGGAATTATTCATCCAGTCCAAAGGAGTTCTGCCTTTAATATCGAAACCTTAAAGTGACTCTTTACAGGCTCGTGTTTTTGAGACTTTCGTTCAAACTTGAGACGTATCCTTATCGAAATTCGCATTTGCACAGCGATTTTTCTTAAAGTTACTGCCCCTGTCACCAAAACCTTGTAAACCCTCAAGATGTCAGAGATTGTTTAGATTTTTATTTTCAAACTTAGAATCATAGGAAAATTAAGACTCGCTAATCAATTTTATGCATAGTTATTGCCCATGACCCGGAAAACATGAACGTCACCCTTGGCGAAGCTATTGGTGGGTAAATATTTGTTGTCTGAGAAAGCTATGTTTTACATTTCAGTTATATTCTATTCCTCACTTTTGATATGCCTTATTTATAAAGAATCCGGAGTGTACTTTCAATGGCTATATATATTACACAAGGTACAATTTTATGGATACACAATTTCTGAGTTTAATACTGAACGTTTTGACAAGGATACTCTTGTCTACATCAAGCAAATGATGAAGACGAGAATGTCCTCGTGGAAACATCACTTTGTAAACTCAGTTGGGTATCCATAAAATTGTACCTTTTGTTAATATGGTCAATTACTAAATGCCTATCAAAGAGGATATATATTTGTAAGGTGCCTTGCCGTTGTATGATTCCCCCTCCTAGAATATTAATTAATATTCCGCTGGATCTAATTCTGAACTATTCCGTCTATGCATAATATGCCGTTCCAATAATTATATGAAAGTATTACCAAGCTCTAGGTTGTTATAGAAATACGGACATTTAAAATACATTTTTATAGGGATTTATATATTATAATTATTATATGTAATATTATTATTGTTGTTATACCAATGTTATTATCTCCTATGTTTTCAATTATTAAATCTGCTTTTAATAGATTGGTTTCCATTATAGTTATACTTAACTAATCTTGATTTTTTTTTTTTTTTTTCAAATTTTGTAATCTAATTGTATACCCTCATTCTGAATAATATCAACCTCGTCGTTCATCCGTATTTTGTTGACAAGCAAACATTATCACGGTTTTGATCAAATTGGATATAGAGAGAGAGAGAGAAATGGGGTTTAAAGTCCACTCGACACAAACTAGGTCATTTCGGGACTAACATATGGTTTTAATTTTATTTCAATAATTCGCTTGCGCGTAGGGGTCTTTAGCAGTGGGAGGAAACCGAAGGACCCGGAGAAAACCCACGAGGTTGGACAGGCGACCCTACTCCTTGTCACGTACAACCGGGGATTCGAAACCACTCCAGTTGACTCAATGACAGGTTTTATGATACAGCGCGCACGTGCTAACCATTCGGCCATCCAACCCCCCCAAATTGGATATAACTCGCTTGCTTATTAAAGAGGCATTATGTAAGATTTAGGTATTTAAAAAATAGATAATGCAAAATGAATATATCTAAATTTTCGTTCAACTTACTTTATTTTAAACGAATTTATCAATGGTTGTAGTTTTGACCAATCTGATTAAAATACAGATCTATACATGGCGATCTGACAAGTTGTACTCGAAGGTCGTGTCAGAGGTCGTACAAGCGGCTTTTGGCCCTATGACATCAGACATTGATTAATCAGTCAGCGTTGACATACTTGTGGTTTACCCACAGTGCCTTGCATGGCACGCCAAGAAGTTGCCGTGACAGACCGTTTTATTGGCTTATCCCTAACTTCAACCAAAACGCCGGTAATATAACAACTCTTCCAGATCCTAGTGTAGTAAAGACAAGTAAAACGAAATTTGGAACTATAAAAAACGAAACGAAATAGGGTCTGTGTATTAATCAGATTGAGTTTTGACAAGATATGTGGTTCTTCGAGTCTTAGCCTCGCGTCTCCATTTTTACATTAAATCATTAAATGGCCGAACCGTTTAATCTACTTAAAATTGGAACCATCCGATGACATCGAGGGTTGATTATGGGCTTGTCATGTTAATAGATGTCTAATTAATAATTTAGATAATATTTAAGGCATAAAGAGAAACCTGCAATAGGAAGATTTAGCTCTTGCATAATGCCTGTTTAGTAGTGTTATATCATACAGATGTGCCTAATGTAATATTTAAGAATTTCGATGAGTCTTCTATTGTTACTGAAACGCCATGACACTGTGCGTAATGTAATATTTAATGTTGACGAATATTTATAGAGTTAATGCCTTTGCTCCTTTCACAGTTTTTTGTTTTATATCATACAGATGTGCCTAATGTAATATTTAAGAATTTCGATGAGTCTTCTATTGTTACTGAAACGCCATGACACTGTGCCTAATGTAATATTTAATGTTGACGAATATTTATAGAGTTAAAGCATTTGCTCCTTTCACAGTTTTTTGTTTGGTCATAAAGATGCGATTAGAATTTCGATGAATAGTTTAACATATTTAACAATATGCAGTATGTGTACTTGGTACAATACAAACTATAATTATGTGACAACCTGTTAAAGCCTCCATCACATATGTTGTGTCTAATGAAATAAATATTAATATGTGTATTTGCATTGCATGTAGGTGTTTATTTGGCGAATGCTTGATGAAGTTCGAAGATTACAGAGATAAGCAATTTGATTAGTTGAAGCTTTGGGACACGATAATTTTCATTCTGATCAAGCGAGGGAGATGAAACCTGGTACCTTGACTAAGTTGGATAATGGTCATTTTCTGCTAGTCGTAAGCAGAGCGATAAGCAATTTAAATAATTGGTCAAGACTTAAGAGCTCGGTTGACTAGTTCGATGATGAGAGTTTTTTGCTTAGGCTAAGTAGCGATAAGCAATTTGATTGGTCAAGACTTTGGAGCATCACAACTCTGAATTCAATGATTAACATTTCCGCTAAAGCTAAGCAGAGCTAAGCAATTTAATTGGTTGATGCTTTGGGACAAGATAACTTAGTACAGAGTTTCACTACCAGGTACTTTAGAACCTTGACTGAATTCGATGGTGAATGCTTTCTGCTTAGATTTAGTATAGATAACAAGTTTGATTGCTCGATACTTTTTTCAGAAGGATACATGTGTAATTAATCAGTATGTATCATCTATTTATTTTGGTATTGCGTAGGGTGACATCAGCCTCGCTGCTGGCTTGTTAAAAGCTATACACGGTTTTAAAGTCATGGTTTAACTTAGTGACACAATTTATATTAAGCAGCAAGTATGTGCTTTTAAAAAAGACTAATTTAGTGTTGTACAATTGGGATCTTAAGTATTCTCAAGTAATTCGCATTTGGTTGTTTAAACAAAATAACAGATTAAAGTTGTAGGAATGCTTTCAATGAAATGTTTCAGGATATTGTCGATGATTCCAATAATTTATGTTTCTTAAAATAAACACTTATTTTGTGATTTTGCTATTATTTTTATTATTATTATTATTATTATTATTGATGTTATTATTATTACTATTATTATGTTCAATGTAAGTAAGTTATAACAAAGCTTACAAGGTTATATTAAAGTTGATAATATTTTCATTAAATTCTTGTCTCTTTATTTAATATACATAATGTGTATTTCAATATGAGACGAGTCTGTCTGTTTTACTACGTATTATTGTCGAATTGTATCGTAATCGATCGCGATATCTGATTGGTTTAAGACATTCCCGGTGGTACTGGTAGTCTATTTAACCTGTATGGTAAATTTTGGGGGTCATTTCCTTGCGGAAAATTGATCTATCGGGAATTTTATCCCAAACCCTTACTGTGAATTTTGGACGTTTCCAATCGGCCTTAAAATACTCTACAATAACTTGTATCGAACAGGTCTAAAGGCCATGATAGATGACTGGTAGTTGAGAATCCCCCGTCTTGTCTGAATTTCACTATAAATATTTCACTGGTCTGGGGGAATAATGATTGCGGCAGTACAGCTTTTGAAGTTATTCCCGGTGTTTCTGGGGTTGGTATTATAACTGATGTGCATCTATTCGTCATTGTTGAAGGGAGATAACTCCACAGCTGGTGTTGGTGGCAGACCCCATTTTTTCCCCTATTGACTTCAATGTTAATTCTGGTGTCGTTGCCCGGCTCCTACTTTTCCCAAATTTTCCGTTTTCCTGGACGCTTTCCACTACAGACAAAAATGATCATCTCTTTGCTCCAGATCACTATGTATGAGGATGACTAGTGTAATGTTGAGATACACAAACTTGCAGTAGCATACTAACTAAAAACATGTTTCTATCCGCCGTACTATTCACACAGAGAGAGAGAGAGAGAGAGGGTTGCGATATATATATATATATAGACGAACTATACTTTGTGGTGGGTACTTAGGATCGCAATCTTGGTGTCTACATTTTCAGGATCAAGAAATATATACTATCTAGAAAAGGCATCATATCCTCCAAATATATATTACTAGAAGAATGCCCGACTTCGCTCGGGGGGTCATAACTCCGAAACCGGAAGTGGTAGACTAACGCCACCTGGCCTATGTTACTTCCCGGTCCGAGCTACCCCTATACCCCAAATTTCAGACTCGGGGCAGACCTAGTTTAGCCGCCAACCCCGAACAGACAGACAAACGACAGTCACAAATATTAGTATAGATGTTCTACCTACAAAATCCCTATTCCTACCAATATATTAGCTTCTAAACCACTTAGGATCGCATTCACCTACATTTTTTTTTTGGTGGAGGAGGAGGGGGGGGGGCAAAAATACAATTATACAATACAATCCAGAGGTATCAAGATGAGGGTTAAAAGTCAGTTGGGTAACAAATATCTTTATGTAAGTTGGAAAATAACGAATATTTATCGTAAGGTTCTGTATTCAATGAAATATTGCATGGCCTCGAGAAAGGTGTCTGATAATATATTATCATCCCCAATGCACATTCCCAGAGTTCATGCAATATTTTCTGTGACTACAATACCTCAAAGATACAATTTCATATTTTCTAAGAAAGTCATAACATAATTATTTCTATGTCTTTTGCTCAGTAGGTTGTCAACTCACTATTATACGATCATAGGTTGTCTTTCTCACACTTAAAAATCTTCACACCGGAAATAATAACACAATCACCTCCCAAATACTCCATTGTTTTCCTATTCCCCACCATGGAATAGCTATCTTCAAACGTTTGAATTTGAAGTTGAAAATGATATTTTTGCCAATTTTTCAACTGGCAATAGTGAATTATAGGATTAATAGGATTATTCTTTAACAAGCTAGGACTGTTTATAGATACCATCTATTTTAAGGCTTTATTTTAATAAATTTTAAAAATATAACTTAAAAATATGGAATTGTAACTTTAAGACAGTACTGAAGTGGGTTTTCTTTCAGCGTATATGAACGTTTTCTTTTCGTGTTAATACCAGCATTCTAACCCTTTCTAGGTGGTATGAATTGTATTCATTGACCATTAAAATATATTTTTAAACACCAAGATTGTGATCCTAACTGGTTCTGAAGCTGAGATTTTAAGTTGGTTTTTACATTGACGTTTCCTTTATTGTGTTTATATAAACAATCTGATCCGTTTCTAGATGGTATAATTGTATTCCTTGTATGATCGTTCACATCAACTTGCTAAGCTGCCTAACTAAACTTGAACAGAAGGACGTTAAATCCCATTTCATTTCATTTGTCCAAGAAATTCTATTATGGTTGCACCCAAAAGCAAATCCAAAGGAATTTCTGTTTCCCAGGGAGAGCACGAAAAGAACAAAGGGAATAACTGATTCATTTTTAAAAATCCTCCAGAGAACCACTGAGTGAAATTCCGAATGTGATTTACACCTATAAATATCCATTTCATTAGCCTGGGATTCGTGTGGAAATGCATTTCTATTATCAGTATGGGTCTTCTTTTCAACAGTGGCACAGTTATACAAAGGTGTGCAGCATGATAATATGCACATAAAGGAGTCGGTTATGATGAAATCTTTTTTTAAACGCCCAATATTAACCGCATCCTTTGTTAGTGAACAACAAGTGGGAGGAAACCTGAGGACCCGGAGAAAACCCACGAAGCTGGACAGGCGACCCTACTCCTTGTCACGTACAACTGGGGATTCGAAACCACGCCAGTTGACTGAATGACAGGCCTTATGATACAGCACGCACGTGCTAATAACCATTCGCCCCCCCCCCCGTCAAAATCAGTAGAACACAATCAGCTATAATACATCCTAGTGTGGTTTAATATCTCAGCCTCCCTCCATCAAGAAACCTTAAAGATAGAATATTTTCAAATCAAAGTACACAAAAAAGCCTAAATTCGTAATTTTTCAGTCAGTTTAGATTTTCAACAATAGACGATGGCAATCGTGCTACAATATATCATGTGATATAGCAGTACCATCAATATTTACAGACTTGTTGTTATGTAGCAGTTACCAATAATCAATCGAATTGTTTGTTAGATTTCCTCCCAATCTTCTATTGTAAATAGTTCCTAGCCTTTAGATCTTCCCATAGTAATGGCTCTTTAATGAAATGAGTACTGGGGTCGATGGAAAGGGTATAGAGGGTGTTATGAAGAGAGGGGTTATTGGGAAAAGCGGGTAAAGGAGGGGGGGGGGCAGAGCGAGTGGTTGGATGGAACACATAATTTGTTTTCTAGGGTCAACCAAATGAATTTGCGTCAAACACCACCAAACGGCCAATAAATTGTAAGGTAGTTAATTCTGGGAAACATGACTAAAACTGTAACTCACTCACACCCAACCTCGGGTTCAATCAAACAATATACTTGAAATCCACCCGTTCTCAATACTCAAGTCTTACTGGATCCAACAAATCCATTTGAACACATTTTCTTTTTATGTGAAACGTCGATAATGTGTAATGTGTCCCTACTTCAACCAGATTTGAGGAGATTGAAATATTATCACTAAGTCAACATGTTTAGCAAGTTTTATGTTGAAATCCCGGTAAAATGTAATTCAGAACCTTTATATTGCCGTCGTCCCCATTTGGGTGACTTACTGAAATGTATAGCTATTTGCTACGAAATCTTTTGATTCAGAACTTTTCGTCCGCACTTGTAAACGCCATTCTCTTTATTTTAAATTCATGTTACTTACTTAAACTTATGCCCCTTTGTTACGAAGTCTTGTGAATACTCTAGCGGCCATTATTATCGATCTTTTTTTTCAAATTGATATAGAAAGAAAGAATTTAATGATTTTAAAATCATTCCAGAGTTATTCCACGTTGTAACGAAATCTGTTTAGCGATTAGACGAGAAAGCTGTAAGTGGATGTACCTTTGGTTTTCTGGCAACGTATATTGTTAATCCGGATGTTTATCCTGGCATGAAGGATATAACACTGTTGGATGTTTTGATTACAAATCTCCGCATTTACATTTTAACTTTTAAATACGCAACGAACCAGGGGTTGTGTAGGGACGCAAGACGGAAGAACTCTGCCAAAACATGAACATTTTAAGTTACAATTGGCATTTCTATGTTTGATATGAACCTGTGGGGCATCCCCGTTTTTATATTTCAATTACTGTATTATTCAGGCGTTACTGGACAAAGTTGGAAAATTCAGAAAGATAGTTGATTGCGGCTGAAGCACATTTCCGAAATTTATATTTTAGTTTTAGAGCAAGGTGGGGCGCCTTTGTTAATGCTGCCCATTAGGGCCTTACACATGTCCCATCTGTATATTTGTGTTTGAAATACTACGATACATCTTGGCCCCACAAATGTCGCAACTCTTGTAAATTACCTATCTTACAATTAATATACAATATCGTTTATCATGGCTTAACATTTATTTAATTCCATTGCTACGACAAAGGAACTGGTTTCAATCACCATTCCTGCATAATTCCTGTCATATTTGATTGTGTATTCATAATGCCCGCAGGTAAACAAGGAATCAATAAAACAGAATAATAGAATCCATGGTGTCTTTCATTCTTTAAGCTAGCTATTTAATGTTCTCGCCATTAATGTACCCATACAATAACGTTTGCTTATATAAAGTTAAAGTTCTGCATGCTTTTAGGAACTGGTGCCCTGGGACGTTTCGAGAATAAAAACAGTATAGATATAAAATGTAAAGAAGCGGTGACAATCAATATTACTTCCAATGACGTAGGCGACTCCTTGGTGACACTCTATGGCTCTATGCTGGTTGATGCGAGCTCTTTTCCCTGGGTGTACCTTTATCACCGAGCCAGCCACCATATTGGAAGGATAGTCAGTCGTAGAGTGCTGAAGAAAAAGGAGAAACTTTTGGGCCAATTTTGACGAGCTAAATTTGGGTAAGAACATTATTTACGCTTAAATCGTTTACCAACTTGTGAAATATTAAAATTCGTTTCCTGAGAACTTTCAATATAGCGTGTTGCTTTTTTGTGCGATTTAATTTTATAATATTCAAATTATGAGGGGGGGGGGACAATATTAACAACCATTGAATATGATTTTATGATTTAAATAATACCACTTCTAATTCAGTCTAACGTACAGTGGATTCATTATTCTTCTCGTATCAAAGAAAATTGATATTGCATGCAAAAAAGTATAAATAAATAAATTAAATTTATTTGTCAAGCATTTTGTTGCAAATCATCTCTCAACTTGATTCTGAAGTTTTTAGATTTGAATATAATGACCGAAAACAGGTCATAGTTTAATCACAGTTAAAATTAAATACGAAAGTTCTTGGCCTTTTAAAACATTACATTATTAAGCATTTTATAAAGATTAACCGAATGTCTGTATTAACCGTCAAACGAAATTATGAAAGTTATTGAAAGATACAAACTAAAAATGAATTTATTTGCCGTCTTCGAAAAGGACCGGGTAGATTATTGTTGCTTTCAACCACAGTTGAAATTTTGCATACAATCGCTGTTATTTCTTCGTCAAATTACGTCAATTATTTTTTTGCAAACCCCCACAAATCTAAAGTGCCATACCTCTTCCAGGCTCTTACGTCGAAACGAAATATCAATTTACGAATTCTAACAGTTTTTAACCTCTGGTACATGTACTTACAATCTGCTTGAACAATGCCCGTTGTTAATCTCTTTACGATGCCACCAATTGCAAATAAACTTTGTTTTGGTAGCCTACCAATTTAAGAATTAGTTTTCAAACATTGTACTTGAGAAATGGGAAGGTCTGTAAGACTCAATAAGTTTTTTGATGACAATAACGTTTTAACCGTTGACAAATTCTTGGTGTGGGTGTTTTAACGTCACAAATTATATTCATTCACACTTTTACTTCAGCTACGTATATATACTAAGGACCTATACAGATTCGGACCTGACCATCATACTTCCTCCAGAAAGCGTTTAAAACTATTCATTGCCGACGCTGACAGCCGAGAACTAACAACCCGACTTCGTGCATATACAAGGTACCGCTTCACATCTAGGCAACGAGTTAAGGATATGCATTATTTAGAAATGGTTTTAGAAACCTTATTACGGGTATTTAAAAAATGCAATTTAAAAACACTTTATGGGCACAACTATATATTATATCTTTAATTGGGGCTGCACACCCTGATGTTATTTGTGTTTAAATGTAATCACCTTAATGAAATTAAAGGAAATAACACAGTTCAATGAAACCCGTCGACGTGGTGGTACCTAAGAGTCTAACTACATGTATTAAGTGATTATCCCACTTTTCTTGCATAATTTATAGGGTAAAATTATTTCCAATAACAGTATGGCACATTTGTTATATAAGGAAAGTACAGAAAATACTAGATTCTCTGAAAGACTTAACTTCTCCCAAAATTAAAATTTTAACCCACAATCCTCGGCAACAATCACGTGCCCTAACCCTGTCTACATCTCCTGACCTTGACGAAATCTGCAGATGGCCTCAATATTTATATCTGACCCAAATGGAGTGGCGTATGGAGAGCTTCTTGTTGATCTAATGGTGAGCGGTTGTGACAACATTGAGAGACTGGCTTGGCAGAGGATAATCCAAGAATTTACATAGGCTTCAATATTTATGGTTAATGTACACGACTAACGACAAATGCAAGCTATAATTTTTTCTCCCTAATTTTATTCGTGTGGCAAACAATTACGCCTTAATATAGATTCTTGAGACATGGGGAAGTTTTCTTGACTTTGAAATGCTTTGAGGGGGATTTGAAGTAAAATTTGGATAGATAAATTAGTTTGAATGTAAGTTTAATATCAAATTACCCAGTTTGTACGTGGGAAGACATCTTTAAGATATCCGTACCATTCTCAGTATTTAGCTCTACAAGATAACGCAACATTATGTGCGCGGAATGATTTTAGTTTACCTATCTGATGATGTAAACAAAACCATGTAGGCCCTAGTGACTTGGTGCGAAAACGAAAAGAGAATTATCAATATTTTAATTGTCACATAATTGTCAATAGAAAATCGATTTTCATAAGATAGAATCGATGAATTTTAATAATTTATGGACAAATGTTTTTCAATAAACGTATTTTTAACTGTACATTGTCTTACATTCAATATTTAACCTTTATCCTATGGCAGGTTTGAATTTTAATTATCAAGGGATCTTAATTTTTTTTACATAATCTACCTCAAAGATGTGTTTTGATAATTTTGACTACATTAGATGTCGACTGGCTTCAACTTTGGTATATCACATGTAGCTCGTATCTACAAGAACTTTGTAGTCCCAATTGTAGACAGTTTTAGTTTTTAGGAAACGAATCATAATGTCGCTTTGTACCCGAAATATATATGTTTTATACTTCAAAGTAAATATACGGATATTTAATTCCATTGTCGATTTCTACAGTCTATATTAAAACGGTGTCACAAAATCAATATATTTAGTCTTTTAACTACACAGAGTAAAGTTTGCAAGAGTTATCGATCTTGTTGCTATGACGAAGTGTTAGAAAGCTATGGCGGAAAACAAAGAAGAACAATAAAAGCTTTTATTTCGAGAACAGTCAAGCTCTGGATCGTTGGCCATTCAACTAAATAAAGAAAGTAGAACATTGTTGGGTTAAATCAATTTTACTACAGATAATATAAAGTTCCTGGAGCAAACAAAATACTATGGGCCTGGGCCTAGGTAATCGCACAATTAAACACAGGGAAGTTTATTTGAAAAAGACGTAAATATCTACTTTTTAACTATCCCTCAATCTATACGTATATTATTAACAGAAGACGGTAAACTTAATTTCACTACTCTTTACAAAATAACGACAGAATTATTGATTACAAACTCAAGTCAATTCGTTAGAAAAGTTTTAATCTACCGCAGCATCTTGGCCAATCCAACAAGGCTACGTGAAAGACGCGGATAGAGAATAGGTGTGCAGGGGTGCGCATCACCCATTTTATATTGGTATTTTTTTTAAAATGTCTTCACTGCAGTGAATAGCCTACTATTATTATTGTTCGCTTTATATAGTGCTTCGCTACACGTGTTTCTAAGCGCATTAACAACAAAACAGTTTAAAAACATTTTTGAAATCTGTATTTAAGTTAGTTTTAAAGCTCTGGATGGAAGGGGACCCACTAAGGGTTTTTGGAACATCATTCTACATTTTAGTTGCTCTGACAGAGAAAGCATATTTTCGGAATCCTCAATATGCTACCATCAATTGAAGAACAAAGGTTGGATCGCCGGGGAGTATAGAAATCAAGGAGTTCCTATAAATAATTGGGTACAGTGTCGGAATAAATTGATTTAAACACATTCACAAGAGCTTTAAGTTGAACCCTCGCTCGAACTGGAACCCAATGGAATTTTCTGTAACTTGGCTGATATATGATCAAATATTTGTGTTCTAGACCTAGTTATGAGACGTGCAGCATTGTTTTGTGCTATTTGTAGCCTATTTAAAGCCGTTACTATGATCCATAGGAAAACCCCCAGGATAACACTGTTTACATAACATTATTAAATTGTCCTCATCTATTTATTTGTCCAGTCATGCTTCAATTGCAGTTTTCCTATTCCTGATTATAATATTCGCCTTTAGGGGGCTAGAAATATTAAATTTACCAAACAGCTCTTAGCTGCGGAACAGTGGAATAAATGTTATAAAACCCCAGCAGAGGACACAATCAATATACCGGTACCTGTTATACATATAACCAGCGGCTGCCAAACAGGATACGCCCACATTTTGCAAGAGATGGATAGAGAACAAGTTAAAAACAAATGGGATTTTGTGTACAATCAGGGGCAATAATCCAGAAAGTTATGGTCTGAAATGCGCAAATATCAAAAGGGGGGGATGTTTGGGATATAAAGATATGTTTTAAGTTTCATCAAAATCGGATAAAAATTGTGATCTCTAGAGGGTCCACAACATTTGTATTGCACACTTTTACACAGTTTGAGTACAAAGAGCGGACATTTTGTCGAACAGTTTATTTCGATTTTCCCGAAATTCGAATTCAACATTCATTATGGTGGAATGGTGATATATTTAAACGCTTTTTAAAATCCGAACTCAATCAAAATTACAGTGTAACGGTGATATATTCGAACGTTTTTGTTTTTTTTAAAATAGGATAATAATTGTAACCTCTAGAGGGATCACAAGCTAAAAACGCGATTTTTTGTACAATCAGGGGCCATAATTCAGGAAGTTATGATCCTATTCGAAAGGAACCAATATCTTTGGGTTATAAACATGTATTTCAAGTTTCATCAAAATCGGATCAAAATTGTGACCTCTAGAGGTTCCACAACTTTGATATACCAGATGCTATTTCCGTACGAGGGGCGGGCATTTTGTCCAGCAGTTTTAGTCCGATTTTCACGAAATTCGAACTCAGCCATAATTTTGGTGTAACGGTGATATATGTGAACGTTTTTATAAATTGGATAATAATTGTGAACTCTAGAGGGACGTGAAGCTAAAAGCGCAATTTTTCGTACAATCAGGAGCCATAATTCAGGAAGTTACGATCCGATGTGCGCGAATTTCGACAGGAACCAAGATCTTTGGGTTATAAACTTACATTTCAGGTTTCATCAAAATCAGATGAAAATTGTGACCTCTAGAGGGTCCACGACATTGATATTTTTACGTTATTTGAGTACGAGGGGCAGCAATTTTGTCTATCAGTTTTGGTCCGATTTTTACGAAATTCGAACTCACCCATCCTTAGGGTGTAACGGTGATATATTCAAACGTTTTATTAAATCGGATAAAAATTATGACCTCTATAGGGTCCACAAGCTAAAAACGCGATTTTTCGTACAATCTGGGGTCATAATTCAGGAAGTTACGGTACGATATGCGCGAATATC